GGGGGAAATGGGTGACGGACATTGAGGGGGACGCTTGTTGCGATGAGCAACGGGGGTTGTACGTGAGTGAGGAGTCACGGGATTCTACTCCTGAAGCCAAGATTACACTGTATGTTAGCCAACTTGACAGTCAAAAAAAGTTCTGAAATTTCAGCTTGTCGATCCTACCCCCCCCCCCCCCACTGCTATCTAACCCCCAACCTCGGCAGAGACATCCATGGCCACGCCCCACCGCCCCACTGGGTCGCTTCCTCTGACCGTGGCTTGCGTGGCCCTGGGCTAGTAGCCTGCTCCATCTATGCTGAGAGGAGGCGGCCTGGCCCACCAGCACTGAGGGCTCTCCTCAAATGGGTCTTGCTTGTGCCCAGACAAGAAGACGAGGAGGCTTTGTGAGGCCCAGCTCTGACACTTCTAGCCCCTGAGACCCTTTCCATTGGGCTGTGCCTCCCCCTCCCCCCCTCCCCCCAGCCCCCCAGAGATGATGGCCCTTTGCTTTGGTTGCGGGCTGGGAGAGCAAGCCTCTGCCTGACTCCCCTCCCTTCGTCCCGGAGCGAAGCCGGGTGGGAGGCCCGTGCCCGGTTGCCTGTGGAGGCGTGGGGTCCCTGGGAGCAAATCCCCACATTTCTACATGGTGTGTGTCTAACCTTGGGCCACTTCTTAACCTCCCTAAGCCTCATATTGCGAATCTTGACGCTTATCTGCCAGAGTGATGGTAGCATTAAATGAAAAACTCTGCAAGTTACAGCACTCCATTGACACAGGATGCTACGCGTGTCCCCCTAATGGCCAAGAACTTGCCGCTCGGAGCCCTCAAATGCCCTGTTTGCCCTCTACTTGCCCACCTCCCTCCAGACTTCCTAACTCCCTGCTCACCTGGGGCCTGAGAGTCAAGAGGCCTAATATCACACAAGAGCATGGATTGTAACATCAGATCTACCTGGCTTTCGAGCTGAGATCTGCCCCCTCTCTGACTTTAACCAAATACATCTTATTTGAAAAATGGGGATAAGGATACTCACCTTATAGGTTTATTGGTACTAGGATTAAATGAGATAACCCACGGACGGCGTTTGCCCAATACCAGGTTCCGAGAAGCTTAGCAGATAACAGAGTAACAACACATAATGATACTTATTGTCATTAGTCCAGCTGGCCACCAACTTGCTTTGAGACCTGGCATATGGTTGACATATTTCCCTAGTTCCTGGCACTTTCCCTAGTTCCTGCCAGTTTCTTCTATTTTTTGTTTTATTGCCCATTTCTGGAGAAGGTCAGAAGGAGGATATTAACAAACAATGACCTTAATATCATCTGGCCCGGAAGTTTTCCTTTGCATGTTGTAGGCTGATTTCCATCGGTATGCGGAAATAAATTGATTTCCAGACACTTAAGTCAATCCAGCCAGTTCATGGAATCATTTGAGTTGTCCTTCTAAGGATTTTCTAAGAAAGCAATGGACCGTTCTACTATTAGCAATATTTTGTCCCCTTCACAATGCCTCTTCGTTTGTATTTCGTTGCATGGATCACACTAAGGATAACTAATAGTGACTCATGTTGTCTCTTTACCTCATTCCTGGCTTAACAAGGAATGCCTCTCTCCTCTCTCCTGTACGTACGCATCAACTATCTGTGTGAGGTAAAAGTAGCTATCTTGTTAAGGCAATATCCCTTTATTTTCTTTATTTCTACCTCTTAGAGTTTGTTGTTGTTGTTTAGTCTGGGAAGGCTGTTCAATTTCACCAAATAATAGTTTCAGTGTTCGTTGAAATGATACGGTTATTTGATTTTTGTTTCTTTGACCTTATGACAGACACGATGGCTAGAGATTTTTCTGGAACTCCACTTGGGAATGAATAGCTATTTATTTTGTGTTCCAATTAGTGGCTAAAGGATGGGGTACACAGGAAGGAGCACTAGGCTGTTTAGATGCCCATTCAGGAAAATATTTAAGTTTGAATCTTTCTTTGCAACCACATTAAAATTCTAGATGGATCAGAGATTATACCTTTAAAAAAGTTTTAGACTAGTTAGCAAAAAAAAATTGGAGAATATTTTTTATAGTCTTGATATGAGGAATCACAAGCAAGTTGTAAAATCTCGAAGCCATAAAAGAAAATCCTGAGAGATTTGGTCACCTAACTATCTAAAACTTCTGTATGATGAAAGACACCACAGAGAAAGTTAAAGACTTGGGAGGAATGGAAAGAAACATTGCCAACATACGTAACAGGCATTGGATTAATAATCAGAATATGTCAAAAGAGGAAAATAGAAAAAAGTATTTGACTAGGCAAACAAATACTAAATAGCATGTAAACGAAAATAGTAAGGTAATATTTTTCATCGTCAAACTGTCCACGTTTTAAAAGTTGTTTCCAGCGTTGCGAAATGTGCATGGCTAGCTAGATCTAGGACTTCAGTGTTTTAGGTCAAGTATTTTATGTAAATGGCGCCCCCTGCAGCCCAACTGCCTTAACTACATGGAACGTTAGTTCCATTAACCACAATGGAATTGGGTGCCCCTTGGAGTCAGGCTCTGAGTGCCTGCCTCCTCCCTCCGGCTGAGTGTCAGTTTTTGCATAACCAGTAAGATGTGACAGGCCCTCTAACTCAATGATTCCTTTTCCGGGAATCTAGCCTTTCAGAAATATATGAGTATGTAACGTGGGTGTAAAGATACACGCAAAAGGATGCTCATTGAAGCTTGCTTTATATTGGGGAAGAACAGGAAAGAAAGTACATGTCCATCGACAGAGGGCTGTCTGCACAAATAAGGGGGCATCCGTTCGTGACATATTTTGCAACTCTTCAAAGGAATGAAGTGGATTTCTGTGCACTAACAGAATGATCTTCAAGGTTTAATGTTCTGACTCGGGTGAACATGAATGTGAAAGCAAATCCCCCAGATATCTATTATTCATTCCCATGTATGTACGTTTGCATCTGAAAATGCATAGACAAGGAGCTGGAAGAGTCCACCAGGCTGACAGAAGTGGACTGGAATGGCTGCGCCAGGGAGGGTGGTGACAGGGAGGATTCTCAGCTTTCACTCTACCTGCTCTCTGCGTGACTCTACCACAACCAGAAAGTACAGTACATGTGCTGTTTTTCTCTGCGACTTCAAAACCTTAAGTACCCCCACTTGGTCCGAGCTTCGAGAATCCCTGTGGGTTCGGCTGTTCTTTGACACCTTCCCACCTGGCTGAACTACTGAGGAATGTCCTACGGAAGCGGGAGACATTGTTGTTGGCATTCTGAAATAGATTTTTCTGAGCCGGCTCATCCGGGCATCCTAATCCCCACGACAGCTTTCTAAAAATTTAGATCCAAGTCTCTGTGCAAGATCTGCTGATTCAGAACAGGAATTTCTGTGCTGTGGCTATTATCTGGAGGAGGAAGTGACGGGTGAGGGTCCCTGGGTAGTGTGGGGACAGCCACAGGTGGGAAGGAGAAGGCAGGGAGGCAGCCTGGATCTGCGAGGGCTCCGGTGACCCCCAGTGGAGACACCTGATGGATGAAGGTGTGCTCTTGGGCCAGTGTAGCCAGGCCAGGCCCTCAAAGCTGTGCAGAACACACGGTAGGACTGCAGCCTTCATTTCTTGTTTTCGCTAAAAGCTTTTCTTGCACTTCTTGGGTGGGTGCTATTGTGTTCTAAACTGGAGGGAAGGTGGAGAGTTGAAATTCACCCAAAAACTCACCTGGGTTTGCTTAGATGGAGAAAGAAAACCCGGCTCTCGGGGACAATGTGTAAGTATATCCTTATTTAAGGATAAATAAATAAACTCCGGCCTGCAGAGGCGGTGGAAGTGGATTCAAATCCTGACTCCGCATTTATCAGCCACGTGACTGTCGCAAGGTTCTTAACCTCTCTGAGCCTCAATATCTTGGTCTGCAGAATGGATGTAACGATGTGCTCCTCCTGGAGTTGCAGTGAAGATTGGAGAGGTTGTGTGTGAAGAAGCGAATCGATCAAAGCTGAGCTGCGGCTTATTAATATTACGGCAGTTCCTAGACCATGAACTCCTGGAGGCAGACATACGTGATGCCGAGAATTTTTTCTCTCCTCCCTTCTCCAGAGTTTACCTAACACTAATCTAGTACAGACCTTAAGTATTTGCTGAACACTGATTCTGATTTTGATCCTATTAGGGCTCTGGGTCTCTCCTTGAGATGAAGCCATTTCACAAGTCTGTGTGTTACAGAGAGCAGTGCAAAATAATTGTTGCCTACAGACAGGCAAACTATTCCTGTTATAGGTTCAATTCTCCATCTCCGTGTGGAAGAAGCCGGTCTCACCTCCACCTGTGCATTCTTGCCGATATTCCAGACCCATGTCTGTTCTTTGGACTGGGTGTCACCTCTTACTGGTTCCCTCCTTAATCGTGAGTGAAATAAAATCTTCAGCACATGCTCACTTTACATCTGTATGAAAGTCACGATTTTACCTTTTTCTGAAAAGTATCTTTTAACACTTGCTATTACCTGTTAGCAGAACAGGAAGTTTCCATGAAAGGCAGACCCCACCACTGAGACTCTCAGGGTCCCTGTCCCCTTGCAGTTAATTACGAATTAAAATGCGTAGGTGGACGGATGAAAGCCTCCGCACTCGGTGCGTTCGGGGTTCGGGAACCGGGGGTGACACCGGGGAAGCCTCGGTCTGCGGGTCTGAGATGGACTGCCGCGAATACCCGGGCCAGGGAGCGGTGGCCCCGGGGTGGGGGTGGGGGGCAGCCCTCGCCCCTCCCGCCCTCCTGCGCGCGGGCCCCCGGGAGCCGCAGGGAAGGGGGGCGGCGGCCCCCGGCTGGGGTGGCGCCCGGGCTGGCACGCCGGCCCCTCCGCCCGCGGGGTCTCTGGAGGGGGCGGGTCGCGCGAGCCGGAGAGCCCGGAGCCGCCCAGGAATCTTGGCTCGGGCTGCGAGCATTTCCTGCGGGCGGGCCGACGCGGGCCCGGGGGCGCGGCGGCGGGCAGACTCCGCGCTGCGCACGGCCGGCCGGCAGCATGCGGCCCCTGCTCTGCGCGCTGGCCGGGCTCGCCCTGCTCCGCGCCGCCGGTGAGTGGGGTCGGGCCGGGTGGGACCGAGGGGACGGAGAGCGGAGAGATGGAGAAAGGGGGGACCTCCCGGGAAGGGGGGGGGTGTGAAAAGAGACGTGAGAGAGAGCGCCCGAAAGAGGAAGGCTGGAGAGACCCGACGCCCCGCAGGAGAGATAGGAGACAGGCATCGCAGGGCGGGGAGGTCAAGTCTGCAGGGAGGGCACACATCCCCCCAGCGCCCCCCGCCGCCTTCCGGGCCAGCTGCATCCCGAGGGCCTGTGGAGGCGCCCGGGCTGGGCTTACGAGCAGGGCACCCCTTGAAGTGAGCAGACGACACCCAGGCTTAGCCCAGCAGAGCCACAGCGGCGGGGTCTCCCAGGAGAAAAGGCCACCACCTGGCCATCTGGCCACTGAGGGCTCCCCAGGCGTGGGAGAGGAGGCCAGTGTCTCTGCTTCCAGAGATCTCCCCTGAGGCCCCGAGCTGCCTTGGGTGGGGGTGTTGGGGTGCGGGAAGGAGAGGCCCCCGGGTGCTCCCTCCACAGGCTGGGGGAGCTCCACAGGCTGCTGCTCCCAGCGGGCAGAGGGGACCGGCTCACAGCGGTGCCATGGCAGAGGCTCAATTGGCACCCAGGCCCTTCAGGCAGACCCTCTTGCCCCACCAGGCGGCTTCGCCCGCTGGCCCGGGAGCCGCAGGTGAATCGCCTAAGTGAAGTACCCTGAGCTACGATGGGAGCCTCCCACGCCAGTGCCTTTCAGGGCACAGCCAGCTGTGGGTGTGAGCACCCAGGGGCAGGGTGGAGGCCTGTGTGTTGATCCCAAAGCCCCCCCCCCACTCCCCTGAGTGTTGGGCTGGCTAGCTTTATCTTCAGGGAGCCTGTTTCCTCCTCTGTAAGGTGGGGAGAAAGAATGACACCCACCCTGCGGAGACTGAATGAAGTCCCCAGCACGGAATTCAACACACACGGGCTCCCTCCCTCATCCCCTCAGCTCCACTGATCTCTCTGAGCCTCAGTTTCCCCACCTATTAATGAAGGAGGACCAACAACTGCCTCCTCAAGGGCTGTATGACGAGTGGCTGGGACTGTGCTCGGCACAGAGCCCATAGAGCAAGGCCTTCTTTCCCCCCTTCCTCCCCCGCTGCTCCTGGAGCCCCCCCCCCCTCAGGGTTTAGGCATGAAGCCCCAGCCCGTGCTCCCCCAGAGGGAGGATCTGGCTGCCGCCCACAACTGGCCGACTTTATTGTGGCCCCTGCAGTCATGACCAGTATATGCGCTTTAATTTAAAACCGTTCTTAAACATTCTTTCTGATTATGCTTGCTTATTGCTACGGATGTTTTAAAAAGGGGGAAAATATAAATGTATGAATGTAATCCCACACCGCGTTCGCACAGTGTTGTGTATAATCTTTCAGACTTCAGACAATTTACCATTGTGTTTCTTAACGTTTGACTATGAAATATCTTGGATGCAAAGGCAGAGCAGTGCGGCAAACCCCGGTGTTCCTGCCATCCTGCTTCGGCGAGTATTGGCCTGTCTTGTTTCCTCTATCACCCCACATTCTGTCCCCTCCCTCCAATAGTTTTAAAGGAAATTCCGGGCACCATATATTTTCATCCGTAAATATTTCCTTCGGTATCTCTAAAAGATAAGTAATTTTGTTCTTTTTAAGTTTCATTTATTTAACTAATCTGCATACCCAGTGTGGGGCTTGAACTCATGACTCCAAGATCAATGTCAATATGGGGCGCCTGGGTAGCTCAGCCGGTTAAGCGTCTGACTTTGGCTCAGGTCATGATCTCACAGTTTGTGAATTCAAGTCCCGAATCGGGCTCAGAGCGTGGAACCTGCTTCAGATTCTGTGTCTCCCGCTCTCTCTGCCCCTCGCCTGCTCATGCTCTGTCTCTCTCGATCCTTCAAAAATAAATAAATACACATTTAAAAAATTGTTTAAATTCATATGCACTCTCAGCTGAGCCAGCCAGGCACCCCAAAGATAAGTAATATTTTAATAAACACAACTGCAATACCATTATCACACCCTAAAAAGGGATGAAAATTTCTTAATATCATCAAATGTCCACATCCCCCATTGTGTCATGTTTACATTTGGTTTTGTTTTGTCCAAATAAGGTGCACATGTTGCTTTTGGCGGACATGTCAGTTATGTTTCCTTTAACACGTGAGGTCTCTTCCCCGCTTTTCCTTAAGATGTATTTGTGGACGCAGCTGGGTTGTTTTGTCCTATGAAGTTTTTCCACATTTAGATTTTAGCTGATTGCATCTGCCGCGAGTCATTTAAATGTTCTTCCCTCCCCTGTATTGTCTATAAACTGGCAGATCTGGAAACTTTTGCTGTTCTGCAAGAATGTTAAGATGGTTTGTTGCTTTAATTTGTATTTCTTTGATTACTACTGAGGTTGAACTTTTCCTTTAAGTGCATATTGGTCATTTCTACTAATTCATGCGAATTGTCTCATGCTTTTCAGTTGCGGTACTGGGATTTTTCATATTGACCTACAAAAGCTCTTTATGTATTGACTGAAGCAAACTTCTTGGAATACTGATAAGAGCCCTTTTTCAAAATTAAGTTTTCTGTTGAGTTCCTTTCCTGTTTTCCTATCAGAGACATCTAAACTCCTAGAGCCCGGTTCTTTTACCAATTGTCACCCATGCCTTGGGGCCCTTTGGGCATTCTCTCATTGTCCGCCCCTGCTCCAGATCCCCGTGGACTGGACATCTGTCTTCCACTGGAATTCTGCTTTCTGCTTCAAGTGAAGGAAGAAGATACTGAAGGACTGTCGTGAGGGTCACAGCATTTCTTCCTACAAAGGTGGATATCGTGGGAGTGAACCAGTCAAAGACATTTCGATCCCAAGCACATATTTGGGCTCTTATGGGGCCCCAGACAGCTGTAAAGGTCATGCGAACAGGTCCTCTTTGCCCCATACCTGTCCAACCCCTCATTTTGTAACTGTGTTCAAGTGTGTTTGCTTGCCGAATGATAGGTGAGTTGAGAAGCAAGACGTTGGTGTAGGAAAGAGACTTTATTTGGAAAGCCAGCCAACTGAGGACATGGTGAACTATTGTCCCAAAGAACCATCTCTCAGAGCATGTGAGTCGGGCTTGTTCTATGTTAGGAAGAGGGGCAAGGGAGTCAAAAGATGACTGATACCTGTAGACATTGAAAACAGTCGTGTAACTTCATGCCCTTGGTCAGTTGATCTTTGTGTGTAGGAATCTGGTGCTGTCGTTCCTGTAAATCTTAAACATAGCATAGTCATTTCTGTATGTACTTCTGTATCTCCTCCAATGAGGCAGGTTTCAGGTAAGAAGGCGGTTTTTGCAAATCTCAGTTGTAAGCAGAATTCCTTCCGTGATTACCGTGCCTGTGTGTGGGGCTAAGCAGCGTTTCTAAGCTACAGGTTACAGTGGCAAGGGAAATAAAAGCAATATGGAGTCAGGCATGCTAAGTTTCTCCCTGTTACCCTTTACAGAGGAGGCAGCTGAGGCCCCGAGAGGGGAGGCCCTTAACTTACACAAGGTCACATGACTGCCAGTGCATGGTCTAGACTGTGTCGGGCAGGTAGGATTCAAATCCTCTCCCTACCACCTACTAGCTATGTAATCTTGGTCATGTTACGCAATCTCTTCGATCTTTAGTTTTCTGATTTGTAAAAACGTGACGTAAGCGTCAAATGGGATAATGTACGTAAGCGCTCAGCAGAGAGCTTGGCGCACAATGAGTGATCGCTAATTGATGGGAGCTTCCCGTGTAGAGTATGGCTATGCCTATTGAAAAGGCGAAGGACCCAGGAATCCAGTGAGTGGGACTGGTTTGTAAGAGAGCCAGAGACCCGAGTCAGCACCGAGCCCTCCTGTGTCCTTGTTGGAGAAGCCCCTCCCCAGCATCCCTTGGACCCCTGCATAGGTTTATCCCTAGAGCAGATGCCTCTCCATCCTGAGAACTGGTCTGTGTGACCCAGCAGAGAGGCAGAGCCCTGGCAGCTTCCTCTGCCTTCTTCCATCTTCAGCTCCCCTGGTAGATGCCCTACACGCCATTGGCACAGCACTTGGCAGTTCCAAGGCATCTTCAAGGGCAGGGGTCCCTTTAATCAACACAGCAGTCCTGCCAAGTAGACCTGGCAGGACAGCTCCCTCACCGTCTGAAAGAGAGGCAAAGAGCGTCCTCAGTAAGTCTCGGAGGTGGGGCTGCGTCTCTGACTCCCAGCCATGTGTGCTTTTCACGGTGCACGGAGAGAGGTTTATTCTGGATGGCTTCTTACACCTTCTCTGGCTTGTGGGGCTTTTGGAGTGTTCTAGTACATTATGACCCCGCGGACTAAAAGAGCATGGTATTCCAAGATAGAAGGAATCAGGGTTCCCATATGGCTCGGGGAGCAGAGCTCTCTGCCAGCCCTGACCACAAGCCAATCTACCTCTGAACTCACATATGAGAAAACGAATAAATACATGTGAAGCCGAGGGGGGAAGGGGGCTTTTTTATGGTAGCCTAGCTTACTTACTGCAACCAGATACTGAATGTACTGGAAATGACATTGAAGTGTTCTCAGAGTGATCAACAAGACTCAGACCCCCATTTGGAAAATGACCAGAGACCTGGGGAGATGGGAGGGCGTGTCTCCCCCAAGAATGTGCCTCAGAATCTGAGCTCTTTCTTGGGGGGCTCAAGGGTCTCTCTCCTGGCTCAGCCAGAGCAGTTCCTCATACTGGAATTCTTCATATACTTGTTTGAAAATAGTATTCTTCTGCTTAAAAAAAAATTTTTTTTTAAACCGCTGGTGGTTTTAAATGAAGCACCAATTTTAATACGAATATTAAATGTGGTAAATTTTATTCTATTATAGTGAGTGCGGTCGAACACAATTAACCCCTAACTGATGGATGTTGCTGGTCAAAGCAGAGTGTGTCTTTGATGATTCAGAAGGCACAGCAATCTTCAGGGTCTCCTCTGGGAAATTATGCGTCATCCCAGAAATCATTGGAGCTGTGCACGCTTTC